GAACGTCTCACGTGCTCAACAATATTCTCTCTCCGCAGTTCAATTACACATTGTCCCGTCACGTTGTGACCATCTTATATATACAAGACTAACACATATCTAGTAAACGCTAGAGCATTCGTGAAGGAACAGGATATTTCTAGAAGTCAATGACGTGTTACCAGCGTCACGTGACCTGCGTTCTCGTAACACTATATAACGACTGATATGAATTTTAGTTAGGAATACTGATTGAGGCATATTCAAATTATTATAATTTGCCTGACCCTTTTGAACTTTTTAGACTGGATTACTGCGAAAGATTCCCTTAAGAGTAATTGTATGTAACTGATGTACTAGAGCGTATTCTTGGTTATCCGTTTAGAAATTTGGAGTATTTTGTGGAGCACATTTCTTTGATTGTTTTACGACAACAATTCAAGTAAAAGAAAAATATCTTCTTTTTTTTCCATTGCTTGATATTTCATCTTACTGACGACAATAGCTCCAGATACTTGTTGATTATTTTACTGGAGCTATTGTATGTTGTTTCTTATTTATCAGATTTGTAAATCTGTTGATGAATATTAAAGTAGAATGTTTGCCTTGTATATGTTAAGAAAGAAATGAATATCCGGAAAAATTATGGGTTGGAGTTTTGTAAAAACAAAACAAAACAGGGGGCCACCGTACTTCCTTCAACGAGCTTTGTTCACCAAACTCCCCTTCATCATAAAAAAAACAAAAAACAATCGCACATTGAGAAGATTAAAACAAATTTCAAGTATACTCTCAAAAAATAAATAAGAATGGTGAGAATTTAGATTAAAAATGACTCATAATGAGAGTCACACAGAGTATGGCAACTGTCTTTTATATATGTATATTAGATTTTAATCAGCGGAAAAAAAAAGAGTAGTATCGCGCCAAAACTCAAGACTTTTATAGAGATTTATGAAAATCATACCAAACTCTTATTTATATTGTTATATTTTATTTGTTATTTTATTCCCCACATTATGACTATATCAAAATGTTTACATTTCATATCTAGTGTTAAGAAGCGTTTAAAAATAAATTCGAAAATGTTATCAACATTTTAGTTATTTATGCATAGTATAACTTTTTCAAAAGTTCTTAGCAAGGCCATGCATGCAGCCCCAGTTATCCGGGGTAATAATAACAAACTGTAGGCAGTAGGAGTCCAAGGACTCACTAACATAATCTTATCACCCAAATTTGACCCATAACGTCCCAGCAGAAACTGTTAAAATACATACGTTTTATCTATTTCATGAAGTTGTCTTACACAAGTGGCTCTGCCGAAAGAGGCAGATTTCACAAATCCATCGCTATTTCACGAGTATCAGAACGTATTTTTCTAATTACGTCATATAACCTAAAAATTACGGTTTAAACCCCGAAAGAAGATGAAGCACCCAAAAACAACAGGCTTAAGGTTTATGATAAAAATTTTGTTACAAAGTTTAAGCCTAAAAATTAATTGCAAGTACCATCTGTTACGACAGCGGGGGTCACGTGACGCTAGTAGCACGTCATATTCTCGAAGGTTCATGAAGCCTCGAGCGAGCGTATACTAGATTTTCGGTATTCTTGTATATATAAGACGGCCAAGAAGTGACGGCAACAATGGAATGTAATTGAACTGCAGACAGAGATAGAGACAAACAGTTGAGTCGAGCACGTGAGTCGTTCTTTGTGAATTATAGCGTTTGTTATAGCGTGACTGTGGAAATTAAGTGTATTGCAAAGTTGTATTCAGAAAGAATAAACCAGTTTTATTTAAAAAAGGACTTGTATCGCTAAAGTTTCTTCGGAAGAATTTTTACGGAAAAATAACTAACGACCAGAGACGTAACACATCCTTAGTTAAGACTAATGGCAGTACGTGTGGGAGAGAGAAAGAAAAAAAATGTTTTATCCAAAAAAAAGTAATAATAAAACTCAAATTTCACGAAAACCTAATAAAAACCTAGGAATTATAGTCACTAACCTCTAAGTTACGTGTTTTTAAAGTTCGCCAAGAACTTCGAAATGTCTATGTCAAGCTAATAAACAAAAACGTAAAACGATATAAAAAAGTGGAATTAAGATAACCCTCATAAACGTTCGAAGTATTATTGGCAACAATATCAGGTCTTAGTTTTGTTGCTAAGCGACACAGACGAACAGAGCGTTACTAAAAGGCAATAGGCTTTTATATCCATTATATACAAAGTACAGTCGAAATGTTCATGTTTTTTGTTCCTCATAATCCTCTGGCTCTTACGAAGTTACTGAACTATGAAAAGTATTACTTCATCAACAGTTAAAGTATTTTGGGGTGTGTGTGTGTGTGTGTGCAAGTTGAACTCTATTTTTACAATATTTTGCTGAAATGGCACCACCCTGCGTAATTATTTTAAATGTACATAATTGTTCATTTTCATTATTAAACAATTATTTTTTTGCATTTTTACAAATATAACCAATGACACCGATATCAAACAGAACGATGCTAGATTAAAATTGTGCTGTTCATGATAAGCATTGCATGATATACTCTGGTGTATCATAATTAGAACAAATATTATTCTACGTTCTTATCTTATACGATATAAACTTCGTAAGTATACAGTTTGAGTTCTTCATTTGTCATTTGTTATAAAGTCCTCAAGCATAATATAGTTGTAATAAAAGAGTAACAAAATATATTGTGTATGATTTTTTATTGTATTGTCCTTAAGCAACTTTTTATTTAAAAGATTTGGGAAACGCCTCTCACACATTGGCTTCATAGATGTTACTGATATTAATTATCCTACCGTTCTACGTAGGTGTTACTGATATTAATTATCCTACCATGCTACGTAGGTGTTACTGATATTAATCATCCTACCATGCTACGTAGATGTTACTGATATTAATTATCCGGATAATTAATATCAGCAACATCTACATAGCATGGTATACCATGCTACATAGATGTTACTGATATTAATTATCCTACCGTTTAAACATAATACATCGCTAATATAGGTTTCACAATACATATATATAACATATGCTTCGCCACACTTTTCATGCTAATCCTGTTTTTATATTTGTTACCTACTGATATAACTACTGAAACAAAAAACAATGTGAGTTATGTTAGTTCACTACCTATTTCCGAAATTAGCTAATACGAACACATGTTTACAGTTAAACTTAGAACACATTGCTAGTGTAGTGTATTCCACATATGCTACTACCTGTTTTTTCGTTTCTCCGTATGTTGGATTGGGGAGTTTATTTCGTGATGTATAAAAAATTCAGGTGGAAACCGCAAATCACATGTTGTCTCGTATCCTGTCTTATTCCAGTTCGTAAGTCGCTGCTAAAAGCAATCGTAACGCGGTAGTGCCACGCAGGGAAAGTTATTCTGCATGAAGCTCTCTTTTAGGTACGTTGTAATGAATACGAGGGAAATGAAATTAAGGAAATTAAAGAAAAAAATCCTGCTTGTCTTTAGTATCGTTGCAGTCTTTCTAATGATTATTAAGTTTAGAGCGAATGATAAAACGGACAAATATTTGGTTAAATTGCAGACTGAGAATGATCCAGGTAGCGTAGTGAAAGAGTCACAGAATTATATCATGCAAATGAACTTGGAAAACGCTAAAGATAAAGATAAAGAATTTATTTCTCGCTGGGATTTCTTACATGACGGTAATAACTTTCAAAACGAAAGTGGTGATCCAACCGACTTCTGGCGTATGGTAATTCCGGAAATCTATATTTATTCTGCTTTTTGGGATGACCGGCCATCGAACTCTGGAACAGGGCCTCTAATCCGTATCTTTGGGAAGGTAGGTCTTCACTTTCAAAACTTCGATAATGTTCACTGTGTTTTGCAATTTGGGGAATCAAGTGCTACAAGAATTCTTACTCGGCCTTTGCAAGGTCGGTACAGGTTTTCTGCAAAATGCTATGACGGCGGAAGTATTGAGTTTCGCTGCCTCGTGCCACCCGACCAACAGCCAACTGCCGTTTCCATTATATCAAAGGAGATGTCGAAGCCATTACATTGGATAAAAGTTCACTATCCAAAGAAGACGAACCTAACAAATAAAATTGTTGTGTGTACAACTCCGATGTATGGTGATTTTGACGACTATATGCAAATTATAGAAATAGTCGCTTACTACACTACTGTTGGTGTCAGCCATTTTGTTTTTTACAACGCTGGTTGTTCTGAAAAAGTGATAACAATACTCAAACAATTAAAGCAGGCGGGTGTTTCGTTGGATGTCCTGCCTTTCGCCAAACACGGGGAAACAGACAACCGTAAATGGAACGAGCGTGCCCAAGTTATATCTATCCAAGACTGTATGTACAGAAATATGTTTCAGTATGAGTATGGTCTATACATTGATCTCGATGAGTTTGTTTTTCCCGTGCAGCATGAAACATTACAGGGCCTCCTGAAGAGCGAAGAGCGGAAAATTCCAGGAGACTGCTGTGGGGAATATCTTTTCAGACACGTTCTTTACTGTCTCGATTACCCATCATTTCCTGTCCAAAACGTCTCTTTTCAGTTCAACACCCTGCTTAAAACAATGAAAACAAATAATACAGAGGGTTACGACAGGTCTCGCTATATTACTAAAATTGCCGAGCTGGAACATCATGGCTGCGTGCATCGTGTTGCGCACTTGTTGCCAAGGTCAAGGCGATACTTAGTGCCAGACCAGGTTGGCTTTAGCCACCATTACCGTCGTGGTGTTAAGTACGACAAGAGAATCGATTGCGGAAACTTTATAAACCAAAGGAATAGCAACATCACCGTTTACGATCCAAGTCTTCCATTGAAATTTGGAAATAAAATGATTGAACTTGTAAAACAGTGGGGAATACTTTCATAATTCTACATTTTACGCAGATTTTTTTTTTTTTTTGGAATTCCGGAATGACAGTTATTTCATTTTGAGATTTGACAGTGCAAATTAACTGTCGTTTCAATTATTGCTTGATAGAAAGTTCGATTACTACCTGATGTTTTTTGTGTTTTTTTTTTTTTTTTTAGTATAGTAAATAATTTTAGATCTGTAAAAAAGTAAAAAAAACTACTGTAGATTATTTATTCTTACATTCTACAACTAAA